AATATTTTTCTTTAAAAAAAGCAATCTAAGGGAAGAGAAGGAAATGGGGAATGATTGGGTAACAGCAGAGGGCAAATTATGCTAGTGATGGACTCAAAAGTTAGAGAAAGGATTCAGAAGAAAAGATATAATAAATATAAAAATAAAAAAAGAAGAAGAAGATAAGAAAATGGGATGAAAGGAGAGAATCATTAAGAAGTGGAATTTTGGTGAGACCAGGAGAAAATGGCTAAAAGGGGAAGAATAATGGAAAGGAGGAAGGGAATTAAGATATATATTAGTAGATCTAAGGAAACTATATTAATAATAGTAATTGTTAATGTAAAAAGTAAATATGATGTTTATTGTATATTGTAAAATGGAACTGCAGATGAAATATGGTAATTAGGTTTAATTATGAAAATAATTGAAATTAAGATACATAATTGAAATGTTAAAAAAAAGTGTGATGGGGATTTTGAAATAGTATGTTATTCAATGTAAGAATTGAATAAGATGAAGTTTATTGTTTATAAGCAAAAAATATGATGGGCATTATAAGAAATATATTTTATAAATGGAGAAATAAGATAATTGAAGCAATGCTAAGAAATTAGGATTTGAAGGGCGGATGGTGATACTGTTTATATATTAAGTATTAAGAAGAGATTAAGATAAGATAAAAAAATAGAAAAAGAAAGAAGAATATTATGGCAGAAAATGAAATATGTAAATTGTATCTGGAAAAAACAAAAAAGAAGGTTGGAATAGATTATAAAAATCAATATATAATTATGTTACAAGTTGTAAAAGATGTGACCCAGTCAATACTCTGTTCATAAAATATGTATGTAAAAGAAAAAATTAATAAAACGTGTGTGTGTGTGTGTGTGTGTGTGTGTGTGTACACACACACACACACACTCAGAATACAAGTATTGTTTTATGTTTTATGATCTTTTAAATCCAATCAAAATCTAGCTAACCTATTCTGGACCTATTATGTCTGACAGGCTTCCAAAGCATCATAATGTAGACGGTGTCTCATAATCTTAAAAAGACAAAACAAGGACTTAGGCTAGTCATTGGCACCACTGTTGCAATTGAAAAAAATGTTCCAGATGTGTTTGCAGTCATAGTAAGAAAGAAAGCTGAGTGGTGGTGCATCGAGAGGAAGAACAATTCCATCTGATGCTAGAGAATAGCCAAATATGGGACAATCTTATCTATTACCAAGAGACTTTTGCTTAGATGTACCCTGTTTTCCCCAAAATAAGACATCCCCTGATAATAAGTCCAATCGGACTTTTGAGCGCATGACAATAAGGCCAAGCACTTATTTCAGAGTTCCAAAAAATATAAGACAGGGTCTTATTTTCGGGGAAACACGGTAATTAATTTCAGCTTCCTATTCCTCTAAAGAATAGTTCACAAAAGCTATAATTGCATCAAATAAGAAAAGCTGTAGTACTGCACAAATTACATTACAGAAGAAATACTACTAAAATGACATACATCATATAAAATAGCACTGTAAATCCTAAGCAACAAAGCATATAGTTTCTCTTAGTTTTCCAATAAACCTTTTCATTTCAGTGAAATTGTATTAAGAGAACATTTTCTAGATAAAACAAATGTATCCATTAAAATTAAGAATAATTAGGAAAAATACATTTGCTAATTGCAAACATTTTAAAAAGTAAACAAAGGGTGATGATGTTGGTCAGTTTTTTATACAACACTTTTGAGTACTGTCATGTACAGATGTTGTAAATATTGATTTTCTTATAACTCCCAATATCTGTTTTAAAAAATTCCCAAATGTTTCTCAGTCCTCTGTGATTAAATGATATTTAGACATACTTGAAGTATCATTATAAAATCCTTATCTTTCATAATGGATATTTAAAACTTCTCTGAATGCATATCTTGCCAATTTTTCTTATAATTCCAGGCAAAAACACTTTAATTTTCTTTTACAACGAATTTTGATGAGAAGTGATTTAAATAATTTTATTTTATAGATTTATTTTAAGCAATGCTGAACCACTGCAAAATGTTGCAAATAAATAACTAAGAGAATAGAATGTTTTCTCATTAAATCATATTTCAGGAAGTAAAAAGGTAATCAATCATATCTTTGGGAATTATAGCTCAAGTATATTGGGACTGTACTCCAAAGACATCAGACTTTCTTGCACTTTGTTTGGTCACTAATTCATTCAACCTTGAATAAACCTGTTGAAATAATGATGTTTCCTTTTAAAAATTCTAGTGCATACTGACTCAATCTATACCTCCTGAATTAAAGTACAAATCAGAACATAGTCATTCGTTATACTTCAATTATGGCTCTCCTATGTCAAAAAATATATTTCAGTGCCTGTATTTTACACCAGAATTTCCTGATGGAGAATTAATGTTTTTGGCAGTATTTAATCAGGTTAAAGAGACAAAGAAAAATAGGTCCTTATTTCTATTTCCACAGTTCTGAAAATGAAGAGGCCATAGATATTTACAAATGAAATATTTGTATTTTGCCTGATTTTTAAAACTTTGCCTCCCCTTTCCATATCCTTCATTTTTAATAATTACATCTGATGACGAAGGCAGAGAAACTCAAAACTTTTCAAACTATTATGTTCTGTTTCAATTTTATATCAACAGATTTTGTATTTAGAATTAATTACAGTAGAAGACTGAAGCAAAATGTTTAAAAATAAATAAGGATTTTTATAGAGGGTTGCCTATCAATTCTAGCAAGTGATCTTAAAATGTAGCATTATCATTCTAAAGCTATGAGTTCCACTTCTGGTGACTATATGGACACATTCATGGTGTGTTTTTTCCCCCACAATGATACTAAAATTATTTACTACTGTCTCCTTCAGAAATGGTTTTTAATTTTCCAGTCTAGTTTACATCCTTGGGATTTCCTAATATTCCCCATTTAAATATTAATCAGATACAATCCTGTTTAACTTCTTAAAATAAGCCAAAATGCTAAATGCTGTCACCTTCACAGGAATATAAATCTGCTAACTCAATAAACTTCAGGTAAGTCTTTCTTTTAAGCATTTACATCATGAATCTCATAGCACTTCTAATTGTTTGTATGTCACAATCAAAGGTCAAATTGTTTCAGGGGTAGGCCAAGTTGATGTCTTCCAAACTTTTGGGAGACTTCAGTTCAACTAATTCCAGACAGCTGGTTGATGTCAAGGGGCTTAGTTAGTTTCTGGATGACACCCAATTGTCTATTCCCTGGTATGTTTACAATTAAATTGAAATTACAATTAAAAGCAATTTAATTAAATGCAGACTTTTTATCTGTATATCATCAGGAGGCAATTTAGATTTTTTTTTTCATGCACTTTCCTCACAAGAGTGGGAAGGACACTGGAGTAAAAAACAATGACTGTGGAAGTTATAGAGACAAAAATATAATTTTGTTAAAAATAAAAGTAAGATTTATTAATTAAAATAAAATTTTGAATACTAATATTTTTAGACATAAAGGTTTTGCTCCTTTAAAAGTGTGTTTTTAAGAGATGCTATTCTTTTGGTAACCCTGCCACAAAAAAATCTTACAATATATAGTCAGCACCCTTAAATAATTCAGTGAAAACTCGATGAGTCTTTTAAAATATTTATAGAATACAGCTACCTTTTCAGTGGGCAAAGAACTTTGAATACAATGTAAAGCTTGAACAATGGGAGAATATATGAGTGAAAAGTTTAAAATTTACATTAAATTACAATTTAAAAGAAAATTTTCATAAAATGCTATATCGCTGGTATTTAACACCAGATAAGTTATCAAAAATGTATAAAGGTATTTCAAATGAATGTTGGAAATGCAAATGTAAAGAAGGGACCTTTTATCATTTGAGCCGCAGTGGCTTAGTGGTTAGAGTGCAGTACTGCAGGATATTTCTGTTGACTGCTGGCTGCCGCAATTTGACAGTTTAAATCTCACCAGGCTCAAAGTTGGCTCAACTTTCCATCCTTCTGAGGTGGGTAAAAGAGGACCCAAATTGTTGGGGGCAATATGCTGACTCTATAAACTGCATAGAGAGGGCTGTAAAGGACTGTAAAGCAGTATGTAAGTCTAAGTACTATTGCTATTAATGGTGAACATGTGATAAAGCACAGAAATATTGGAGTAGGATTCATATTCTAATACAGAAGATTCTCAAAGCGAATATAAAAATAAAACCATAAATTTTTCCTTGGGTTTAATGGAAAAAGACTTACAAAAAAATTGGGACTTTGATGTTATACATGTTGACAGCAGCAAGATTACTTTATGCACAAAAACGGAAGGATGCTTCGATTCCCACAATGGAAAAATGGCTGCAGAAGCTGACTGGAGTTAGCAGAGATGGCTAAAGTGACTGCTTTGATAAAAGAAAAAAAACTTTGTAGACTTTGTGCTGAAGGTAGAAAAATATGAAACTTTGATTTTGGATTTTACTGATTAGATAGACTTCTTGTTATAGAAATGGCCAGTTTATATAAAAGTAAAAAGTTGAGATTCATTGTTATTTCTTATTCTACTGCACCAAAGGGAGTCAGGTGTCAATGATCTTTCTTTCTTTCTTTCTTTCTTTCTTTCTTTTTCCTTTCTTCTCTATACTTTTCTCTTTCCTTTTCCCTCCCCTACTTTTCCTATTATTTCTTTTTGTATTTTATATTATAAACTAATAAAAAGAAATACACCTACCTTTTCTATTTGTTAAATCTATAGAATGAAAATGACTACTTAAGTAAGATATAAAACATGATGGTTTTATACAGGCATAAAAATATCAAAGATCATAAACTTCATCTCGCTACAGCTAACCATTTCAGTCATTCAAATTCAAATTCTTCTTAATAATCTATTACAATGTGTGCATATATGCACAATCTGCAATATGTAGATGGGGAACAATTTTAGATGAGAAATTGATTCCAAAATGTAACATAAAGACAAAATGAAGAAAACAGACTTAGCTTTAAACAATTCATTAACTCACCTGATAGGGTACAATACTTGCATGTGCAGTACCCCATCGTATGGCTTCTGTTTTGCAGTTTAGAAAATTGCTTGCTATATAAGTAAGGCAGGCAACCTGCAAAGATTTGAAATAGAACAGATGTCAAATTCTGATATTATAGACATAACGTAAGTTTGTGTTTTGTGTGTGTGTATTCAGCCAACATAGTATTATCATACTAATTTATTACCCCACAAATCTCAGCCTTCAAGAGTCTTCTTAGAATATTGGCCGATTACCGAAAAATACAACAGTTGGCAATTAATTACCAAAAGAACTAAAGTAGTGGTCTTTGCTAAAAAGCATAAAAATATAAGTGAAATATTTCAGGAAACAAAATTGAACAAGATAAAGCAACAAATATATAAGGATGGTCCTCAAGACTACTGGCTTTTGGAAAAAAAATATATGGATTCATGAAATAATTAGCACTGAGGAACTCATAGAAATATTGAGGTTTTTTCATGCCCAATGCAATGAATGAAAAAAAGAATTGAAATTGTTTGAGGCAAAGGTTATGACTCAGATACTGGTAGTTTTCATTTAGCAACCACAATTGGGATCAGCAGCACTACTTGAGCAAACTAGTCCCTAAGTGAGAAATCACATGACCACAATTGTGCTTTCTTATTCCATACTCCCATATCTTTTAATATCCATACTCTGGCACTGGGATAATTAGCAAAAAGAAAAATCTTTGTATTTACATCCACTGGAGAGAAAGGGATTACAAGATAGTGAGCAGGTACACAATGGGAAAGACATTTCAAAAACAACATGCTGATGCCAGCAGCTCCGATAGTCCTATGTAAACAGGACTAGTGAATTCCCTATTGTGCGCTTACTCTCTTGTAAACCCTTTCTCTCCAATCTCTCTGATATGGGGGGGGGGAATTCAAGCAATTTCTATAGGCAGTCTCTTCTGTGCCTGATCCTTACCCAAATGGCTCTCAACTAGATATTTAACCATGCTGATATTTCCTACACAGCAGCAAGCATTTTTAGAACCTAACATATTTTTATCTGTTGCAAGTTAGCCAACATTCCTTTATCCAGACGCTCTTTCCCTGTGATTCATATTCAGAAGTACCCAAAATGTTTTGTTGTACTGTTCATACAGTGTTATCAAGGTAGCCATCAATCTTTCATCTTTCTTTTATTAGAACATATGCCAAAATAATCAGATGTTTTATCTTATTTTTCTCTTTTCAGCAATTAGCCTAACATTATGCATAATGTAGTTAAACTTTGTGTCGTAGCTATTAAACAAACTATTACAGAATTGGATTTGCTATAACAAAGAATAAATATTAGGCCTAGGGTGAATTACGCTATATATTAATTGAATTTTACAGAGGGTTTTAAATAAGTTTTTATTATGCTATATTACTTAATGTAATTTTGCTGCTCAGTTCTTTTATTGTTCTGACAATTTATTGAATAAATTTGTTTATTCAATAAACAAATTGTTGTTTAAAATAAAAAAAAGCTTTGCATCAAAACATTGTTCTTTGTCTTATAGAGTAAAAGGAAATATATGTAGACAAGTTCATACGCACATCCTTGCTCCCTCCCTCAAGCATTTAGCCATTTCCTCAGAACTATACTCACTGGCATCCAAGCCAGTATTTCAGCTGCTGGCTAATTGAGCCACACTCCAGCATTTTAAAGGACTTGCTGATGTTCAGAGGCAGCCTCATCTAAACCGATCTTTGGAGCTTACAAAAGCCAAATGCTAAAACAGAGTAGAAAAAAGGGTGTACAGAAAAGATAAAGGGAAATGGCCTACAGAGAAAGAAATGGCTACAGATTGGCAACTATTACAAGCAGGAAAGGGAACTTTCATTCAACTGACAGGACCACAAGCTATGGTAAGCAGCATATCCTGGTTGGAGTCCTGCCTGGAGCTTGGAGGTTTGCCTGGAGCTAGGCAGCAACCATTCAACACTGAACAACCACATTGAAACTGCAATTAGTGTAAGAACATTTGGAAAATCTGTTTTGCGTTCTGAGTTTTTCTGCAGCAATTTAACTATCTATATTGTAAATCAGAATGTTTATATTTGGCAGGTATTTAAGAAGGCACAAAATAATGCAAACAAAATCTACTCTCATCTAGCAACAATCATCAAGACTTATTTAATTCATTACCAGATAAGTTTGTGCTAAAAACAAAAAATATATATCCATGAGAAATATAACTAAAATAATTTCCAAACATTATTTATTTGTTTATAATTAAATTAAATTAAATTAAATTGCCACCCATATCATATATATAACTCTGGCTGGCTACAATTAAAAGAATAAAAATTGAGAACAAGATTTCAAAACAATAAAAATGATATAAATATAATAGCCAAGAAGATTAGTAAACACTCAAGAAAGTCATGGCATAGGTTCACCCATATTATCAGAGTCCAGGCTTGATGACAAAGCTAGGTTTTTATGACTTGTGAAACACCAGCAAGGGGAGATGTTTCAGAGAGTGGGCTCCATGGCAGAAAGGTTTTCCTTCTGGTCCTACCAGGTGACACAATCTTGCTGACAGGAGCATAAAAACCAATTGTATTGTCCAAGCCCTTGAAATCATCTATCATAAATAGCTTATCCCTTAACTCGAGTGGAAAGTGGAACAATGGAAGACATAGTTAATAATGTTCTCCACCTGACTAACACTACAAGGACAGAGATGCTATTCAACATAAATTTTCCTTCAAAGTATGTGGAAGGCATAGACTGCAAGCAAAAAGATGTAAACCCCTTCTTCAATGGGACACTGGAATATTAATTAGATACTGGAGATGATTCTCTGTTTTTTATGATTAAGCCAAGATAAAAACTGGATGATTACTGCACTGGCAAATTTATTGGTATCGTTTTCAAAAAGTCATGTTTTGTCTGTTTCAAGAGGCACGTTCCCCCAGGGGGGTTACTGAATACATTTGTAGGATGGGTGATAAGAGTTTAGTTCATTGCTTTCCAAGTATATAATAAAGAAAATAATTTGGCAAGGTAGGATTCCTGAAAGTTTTTCCAGTTTCTTGTAGTGCTTCAACAATGCAAGATGTATTCGAATAGTGATGGAAGGTAAGGTTATTTCCATCCTTGGATAAATAGGAGAGATACCGTTCCTAATAAAGTTATAAGTTTATTGTTTAATTTTACAATAAGCTTGTCATTCCATTCCCAGATCTCTTGTCCACATAGCATCTGCACTATCAACTTGTCTTTAAATATTTTAAATACAGGCTACTACCTTGAAAAACTTCAGAATAGCAGGCACTAAATATTGGGCAGTTTGGCAAAATGGCAGTTAAGAGTGTTTTCCATACAAGGGATTTATGAAAGGTGATACTTTAGTATTCTATTGTGATCAACCCCAGTAAGAGAAGAAACCTTTTTGCCCTTATCTTTTGTGGCCCAAAGTCTAAGAATTATCAAAACAATTATAGATACTTTGTCATACAACTAAAGTGATACGACTATATCAAGTCAAATCAGTGTTGCTACACTATTTTCTAAGGTCTATTATGTAAACATTTAAAAGATATAAATTATTTTTAGCATCAAGACATGATTAATTGATGTTCTACCATATTTGGATTTTCATGTTTGAAATCATACTTAGGCTGTCTCTGAACTTGGTTGTTTTCTTCCAGATGTTTTATTATCCAAACAGATATCATCATCATCATCATGTTGCCTAGTTTGGATAAGGAAATGTCTTTAAGAAAACAACCAAACTCACAGTGCACCCCTTATTTCAACTCTGAACTACAAATATTCCCCTCTATCATGATCACACACTACAGTAAGCCATATCAAATATTCATATTTGATTTAGCATGATACATAAGCCAATCAGTCTGGTTTGAAAATAATTATGTCAATAATAATACAAAACCAGCTAATTGTACTGTACTCATTGAACTATGGCTAAGTAAGCATGACTTTTTATAATGCATGTAATCAAGACCATTTTTTTAAATAAGGGGAAAGGTACTGTATCATTGGTCTAAATATAATAGCAATTTTCTTAAGCTACAAAATGAGAGAATTTATCAGTATATCAAGACCTACCTAGTGGCGATAAAAGCGGCAAAATTTAATTATTTTTCCGCTCTTATCGCATCTGCAGAGAACCACCCAGCTGCTCTGTTTAGGGTGACCCACTCCCTTCTTCGGAGGGGGGGAATGCGGGAAAATCCCTTGCAGGGTTGAGCTGAGGATTTTGTGCAATTCCTGCATGATAAAGTCGCTCAGATTCGGGAAGGCTTGGACTCCGACTAGGTGAGTCCAGGGGAGGAAATGGGGGTAGGTCTTGAGAATATTATCTGGGAAGAGTTTGATCCTGTGGCTCCCGAGGACGTGGACAGGATTCTGGGTAGGATTAGTACTGCCACATGTTTACTGGACCCGTGTCCCTCCTGGTTGGTACTGGCCTCCCAGGAGGTTACACGAGGCTGGCTCCAGGGGATTATAAATGCTTCTTTGAGTGAGGGTGAAGGTTGTTGAGTGTGGTGGCACGACAGCTTCCCTGGTACCTGGATGAAGCTATCTATCTAGACCCGTACCAGTCGGGCTTCAGGCAGGGGTACAGCACGGAAACGGCATTGGTCGCATTGGTGGATGATCTCTGGAGGGCTCGGGACAGGGGTTGCTCCTCTGTCCTAGTCCTATTAGATCTCTCAACGGCTTTTGATACCATCGACCATAGTATCATGCTGCAGCGGTTGAGGGGGTTAGGAATAGGAGGCACCATGCTACGGTGGTTCTCCTCCTTCCTCTTCGACCGTCCGCAGTTTGTGTTGGCAGTGGGGCAGAGGTCAACCTTGAGGCGCCTCGCGTGGGGGGTGCCACAAGGGTCGGTCCTCTCGCCCCTTCTGTTCAATATTTATGTGAAGCCGCTGGGTGAGATCATCCGTGGTTTTGGGGTGAGAGTCCATCAGTATGCTGATGACACTCAGCTGTACATCTCCACCCCAGACCACCCCAATGATGCCCTTGATGTGATGTCCCACTGCCTGGAGGCCGTGAGGGTCTGGATGGGGAGAAATAGGCTCAGACTCAAT